CTACAGGTGCACGATAGAGAGTATCCTCACTGGCAGCATGACGGCCTGGTACAGCAGCTGCACCGACCTCGATCGTAAGGCTTTACAGAGGGTGGTGAAAACTGCACAGCACATCACCAGGACGGAGCTGCCATCCATGGAGGACCTTTACTCCCAGCGGCTCAGGAAGAAATCACTACGGATTATCAAAGACCCCCATCACCCCAGCCACAAACTGTTCTTTCTGTTGCCGTCCGGCAGACGTTACCGCAGCATCCTGGCAAGGACAAGAAGATTCGGAGACAGTTTCTTCCCGCGGGCAGTGAGACTGTTAAAAAATTGAACTGTTGAAACAACTTCAAACATTCAACTGCTACTCAGTAGTATGTATCTAATACCTAATATATATATATCATTCCAATAACTTGTATATAGACTCATACTGCACTATTCCACATCATAACTTTATTTCATTTTTATAACTATTATTATTTTTGTATTGCTCATGCTCTTATTGTTATTATGTTATGTTATTATGTTGCATTGTTGGAGAAGCCTGTGACATAAGATTTTCAACTGCATAATTACTCTGTAGCTATGTCAGATTGACAATAAAGAACCTTGAACCTTGAACCTTGAACCTTGACATAGCCTTCCTCAGGCAGTGTGTTTGTACCGGGGACAGGAGACACCCCCTTGATGAGAAACTGTAAGAAATGATCGGGGAATCCCTCCGGAGTGGAGTCATGACGACTGGATCTGAATTATTTTGTTGTATTTGGTGGTTTGTGTTCCAGCTGTCGATCAGCAACTATATATCCATAATCCACCAGTTAAAGGAAATACAATGTGTTGTGTTATATTAGCTGTACAATTGACCACATATGGTGTTCTTAGTTTCCATACCTCCTGTGTTTTACGAGCGACTTATCAAGTCTTGGCAAACGGCATAAAACACGATTAAACGTGATAGTATATAAAACCATGCTCGTATCTACAACCTATAGAAATGCAAAACGGTGTCAGTTTAGACGTCATTCTGTCCTCCTGCTTACCGCATCATTTATGAGAAAACATTTCTTAACAAGAGAACATCATCGAGGGGTGATCAATAACATTTCCGTATTTATTTATTTCTCCAAGTTATGTTTTTGTGTGCACTGAGGAGTCTCAAACAGGCGTTTGTTTAATCATTTTAAGATTGGCTTTAATCAATGTTTGAAAATGAATTCTTCATATTTGATAAATGAGAGGTAACATTTTATTTATGGTATTATTTCCACATATTTCTCTCCATTCTTCCTTCTGCCAACGGTGTCGCAGTTTCTCGTCTCTCCCGTTTTTGTGCTTAGTGCGTACGCATGGGTCAGAGTTTGCGTGGAGGACAGCACATTTTCCCGTCAAGTTAGTATTTTATAAATTGCAAACAGTGCGTAGAAACTGGCGTACGCCATCTTTTGTGCGTACGCACCGTTTATAAATGAGGCCCCAGATCTGTGAAGCTATTTGGACCTTATTCCTCAGACACCATCCTGCTGCACGAAACACTTTCTAACACACTGAGGGTGGATTCATAATCCATCGCTGAGTCTGAATTAGCTCGTCTTTTATTCAAGGTATAGCTTAATGTCACAAATGCAAAGAACTGATATTCATTTGTTAAATACGAGGCATGTCCCTTTAGAAAACAACAACAAATGAACAAAACATGTATTCAGAAGAAGAAGAATCGGAGTGATGAAACCCTCTGTAATGGTCTCACATGCAGAGCACACAGCACACACAGTGAAGTGTTGCCTCTGCATTGAACCCATCCTAGCACCAGGAGCAGGGGGCAGCTATTGTACAGCGCCGGGGGAGCAATGGGAGTGGGGGGGGTTGTCTGGTGCCTTGCTCAAGAGCACCACGGCAGGGCACAGGAGGTGAACTGGGACCTCTCCAAGTACCAGTCCACACTCAACATTTTGGTCTGGTTGGGGACTTGAACCGTCGACCCTACGGCTCACAGTCCAAACCCCTACTGACTGAGCCACTGCCGGACAACCCCCGCACAAATTGTGCAACCTTTAAATGTGTGAGTGAAATTGAAAAACCTGCTATAAATAAGAAAGTGATTCAAATGAGACACATGTGCCTGCTGTGTCATACATGCATGTTTATACATGCATGTGTCATCTATGTGTGTCTGTGTGTGGCCTGGGAGTGAATAAAGTCATATTCCCTGCCTGTCTAAGCGTGCAGACACTTAATCTTCCTCTGTGTCCAGTCTTTCCCACGCAGCCTGCTTTCACACTGACGCTGGGATTCAGCTTTCAGGCACATTCAAAAGAGTGTGATACACACACACACAATAAATACACACACACAAACACACACACATTGTGGATGGGTAGTAGAGAGGATAACAATGTCAGTAATGATATCAGCTTACATATATATACAACACTTAGAAGTTAGATTTTTCGTTTGTGAGTCACGTGGCAGCAAGTTCATGTTGTTATGCCACTATCAAGAACCAAAGCATGAACACAAAGGTTGTATAGGAAAACAGTTCAACACCTATCAGGCCTGAAAAGACTACAGAGATTAAAAGGTGACCAAACCTCTGTAGCGTCTGGGGATAGAATGAAATGAAGCCGCTGACGTCACTTCTTCTTCTCTTCTGCTTTGGGGTTTACTGGCAGGCCGCAAACAACTTCACGGCGTATACTGCCACCCGGAGTCCCCGGCCGGAAGTCCCCGGAGTTGGGGACTGGCTTCAGTAGAAGCTGCTGGGACTCCCAGCAGCTTCTACTGAAGCCTTCCGAGTACATAGCCAGAACGCCGACACCTCCTCATCTCCACCGCTCCCATGTTTTCTTTGTGTTGCCATAAGTTAGTCTCTCTGCGTTTGTGCGCTGGGCTAATGCTAATGCTAATAATGCTAATGCGAGGATAATAAAATGGCGGCTTCACAAAACTTTTTGGGAGTTTTACGGGGCGTGGTTTACATTCCGCCCAGCCAATCAGACATAGGAATCTTTTTCTCCCACGAAAGTACCTGCTCTCTAGCAGGGATGGAAAACTGACGGAAAAGGGGGTAAAAAGGTTCTCATGAACTAATTTTAGTTCCGGCTCTTTTTGGTGTGAACGCGACATTTCGGAACTATATCGGAACTAAAGTGGGAAAAGTACTGCGGTGTGAACGCGCCTAATGTAGCATGCCTCATACCCCTCTATTGAGCCATGTTACTAAAGTGCTGATTCTGGGTCTGGCCCTTTAAATGTAACCGAGCTGCTGCTGGCCACGCCCCCTTGGAGCTGCTGCTGGTCACGCCCCTTTGGAGCTGCTGCTGACCACGCCCCTTTGGAGCATCCGCATGCAAGCAGTGAGCTCTGTGAAGAGAAGAAGGCTGTCTACCACAGAAACTCAGCTAAACGCTGCCGTGATTAAACGCCATATTATGTTCCAAACCACATCAAGCATTATTTCTGAAACGTATGGAGCTCAAACACTTTCTCCCTCGCAGGGTTTCCACAAGGACACTACCTTTTATATCCGGCTTTTTTACACATACTCTCTCCAGTACAGCGTTAGCTCTGAGTGTTAGCGATGCTTGCTAATGTAAACACAGACCATATTACTTCCATAACACGTCGCGCATTGTTTCTGATACAGAAACGTCTCATTCTGGGGATGATAGGTTAGGTGGGGGGGACGTTGCCAGGAGTTTAACGTAAAGCCAGCCCACATTTTTAGTAATGTCATCATGACCGCAGCAAATCTGGATCAGCTCCGTTGTCCAGCCACAACATTCCACCGTTTTTAGAGATACGAGTAAGGAGGAAAAGAGAGAGGGTTGTATTTTCTGACACTTTGTGAGTCTCCTTACACACCGGGGACACATATTGATGTATAAATGACATCAAAAAGTGCATTTTGCATGACAGGTGAGCTTTAAGATGTGGGCCTAACTTAAATGGGTGAATAACATAACGTTTTTCGAAATAAGAGATGCTGTGAGTCCCTTGCAATAAGTAAAAATAACTTGACATTGACACCCTGCCGTGTCTATCCTTTTTCCATTCCAGTTTAGATTCAACCACGCCCACTTCCGCATGACCTAAGTATCCACAAAGCATCAGAGCGTTTTCCTCCCGCCAAATATGAACTAAACAGCTACAGAGGCTTCATAGAGCATCTTATTTTATAAAATAGAGTAATGAAAATTGTGCTTTTTAAATATGACTGACAATCACAGTTTTGCAGAGCTGAGGTAATGTTCATTCATATTTAAAAATATAATGGATTGTGCATACAGATCACATGATTCATGCACAGCGAGGCTCTTTCTCTTACTGTCCGCCTAAAAGCAGTGTGAGCACTGTGAATCAATAATCCTGTATCATTTAAGAATGTGATACACTGAGGAGCAGATGGTGGCAATGTTGGCACTGTCAGGACAATAAAAGAAAGAACACTATTTAAGAGAAAGGTCAAAATCAAAGTTGCAAAAGCATGAAATCTATCCCTTATAAAAGGGAAAACAAAATTCAAAATGTCAAAATCTTTCTACTTAAAACTGATATGGTAACACGCTAGAAATAATGTTTAAATTCCAAACTACATTTGTGCTGAATTTGGAGTAATAACTACACAGTGTCCTTGGAGCAGTAAAGTGCGGGAGGTGCAGCGGGGGTCAGCGGCAGGGTCTCTCTGCTCCCTGGTTGGATCAGCTCTGTGGCAGTGAGGCTCACACCGACCATTACATTTTATTTAAGCCTCTTGGATAGATTACGTATGTTGCCATAGCTACACAGCATGTCTCTCTCAGTGTAAGATGTCCTCTCACCCAAACCCGCCTCCTCACTTGATGTTATAGGAATAGCTCAGCCTGTGGAGGATGTTGAACACAGGTAATGCTCCTAACAGAAATGATGGCCCTCTAATTATTAATACTGGACCACAATATATCCATAGACAGGGACCAATCTGTTGCTATAAAGAACAAATTACAACCAATAGTAACAACAACAGCAGCTTGGTTGAGAAGGCTCTTTATGTATTCTTTGTTCAAAGTAATAATTGTATGGCACAGGATGATAAATCATTATAACTAACAGAGTATAGTCAGAGTCCCTCTCTGCATCACAGCCCGCTGCACTGAAATCATCCACATTCAAAACATCTGCATGAAATGACACAGTTACACAGAGGGGAAGTGAGAAAGGCACCGTCTGATGAACACTATGCTTCCTGATCATACTGCAAACAATTATATGTACAATCAACAATTGGACGTCCTTCTCTAGATTTCTTCTTGTCTGTCCTGCTGGAGGTCACACAGTGGTGAAGGTGAAGCGAGTCACATGATGGTAGTCCTCACCGGGACACAGGAGACAGGAAGGAAAGGGAGCCTTAAGAGAGACACACACACACACACAACATTATACAACATTATGATTCTGTGGAAACCAAGGTTACGATCTATTCGGTCTGTTCCACCTGTACCACCTGTACCACCTGTACCACCTGTACCACCTGTTCCACCTGTTCCACCTGTACCACCTGTACCACCTGTTCCACCTGTTCCACCTGTACCACCTGTACCACCTGTACCACCTGTACCACCTGTACCACCTGTTCCACCTGTACCACCTGTACCACCTGTACCACCTGTACCACCTGTACCACCTGTTCCACCTGTACCACCTGTACCACCTGTACCACCTGTTCCACCTGTACCACCTGTACCACCTGTACCACCTGTACCACCTGTACCACCTGTACCACCTGTTCCACCTGTACCACCTGTACCACCTGTACCACCTGTACCACCTGTTCCACCTGTTCCACAGCACCCCTAACACAGTAGCCTTTATAACGGATAAAACAAGATGAAACCGATACAACAGGACCCTCTCAGTAACATGCAGTGTGTTTGGACGAGGACCCTCTCAGTAACATGCAGTGTGTTTGGACGAGGACCCTCTCAGTAACATGCAGTGTGTTTGGACGAGGACCCTCTCAGTAACATGCAGTGTGTTTGGATGAGGACCCTCTCAGTAACATGCAGTGTGTTTGGATGAGGACCCTCTCAGTAACATGCAGTGTGTTTGGACGAGGACCCTCTCAGTAACATGCAGTGTGTTTGGATGAGGACCCTCTCAGTAACATGCAGTGTGTTTGGACGAGGACCCTCTCAGTAACATGCAGTGTGTTTGGATGAGGACCCTCTCAGTAACATGCAGTGTGTTTGGACGAGGACCCTCTCAGTAACATGCAGTGTGTTTGGATGAGGACCCTCTCACCTGGTTCACGGCATCAGGCCAGTTCTGCGTCTCCAGGCAGAAGGAGCTGTGCTTCCTGTACATCACCCCCCCCCTTTCCTGTCAGACCATCCAGGAAATTGGCAGTGTAGAACTGGACTCCAGGTTGGCTTGTAGAAACCTCTAGGACCCGCCCACTAGCTGGGTGACACACTCTGAGATGAAGAAAGAAGTATTCCTGCTAGACTTCACTAAAGACAAATGTGTGTGTGTAGTGTGTGTCAATGTGTCTTCTGCAGCAAACCTGGCAGCACCTCTCTCTGTCCAGCTGTCTCCAGGGAACGACAGGCAGAAGTTATGGTCAAACCCAGGACCCGGAACTTCCTTTAGCCGAGGGCCAATCAGAACAGGCGTGGTAAGGTCAAAGGGTGTGCCTTTCACCCGGCGGATCTCTCCTGCAGATAGAGGACATATGGTTAGAGAGTGTGTATCGCTGGAGAAAAGCCGACAGGACCCTTCTGTTCTCTGAAAGGAAGCAACCTCAGCAACATCACAGGACTCATTGGTTATTCAGGTAGTGTTTCTTAGCCAAAGAGCCTTGTGTTACGTCCAAACTGGAACATACAGTAGACCAGGGGTATCCAAACTACGGCCCGGGGGCCAAATGCGGCCCGGTGGCCATTTTTAATCGGCCCTCAGCAAATTCAAAAAGTATAATGACTTAAGTATAATAAACTGCTGCTTGTCTTATATTGTGCTTCTTAAATATGTTCAAATATATTACACAGTATTCATGTGTTAATAAGCCCAATTTTCAAATAAATTCAGTCAATTAAAGTTGAAAACATGTTCCAACAAATCTAAGTTGATAAGAAAAAAGCCCAATAACTTATTTTCACAACAACCTTGAAATATACCCTTCATATTTCCTCTTATTATCAGCAATCTGAAGCTTCTGTTTTAAGGAATGAGCTGCTAACAAAATAAATGAAACCCTCTGGAGAGCTGTGATGTCGGCAGTTTTTTTCTTAAAGCATTTTCAAGTACCTCTATCAAGAATAATTTACCTACATTGGATTGATTTTTCCAACTTATAACTGAACTTATGAGGTAATAAACCTCTAGTGAGTGGCCCTCGGTAAAAAGTTTGGACACCCATGCAGTAGACTGTATTGCGCCCAAGAAAGTTGACATACCATTTAATTGTTAACCCTGCTGTCACACAGCCCCCAGCTGGGACGAGGGTTCACACACAGCCAGCCACACACACACCCTCCTGCTGCCGCAGCGGAGCATCAGGATGTTATCATCCCTGTGAGACTGTGTACTGGTTCTGACGGACAGCCTCCTTAACTTCACTGCCACAGACCTTCAGTGGGCAGCTTACCTCATTGATTTGTAAAAGAATACACTGAATGACACCAGGCCATTATCAGATTGATACTGCTTAAGAGAAGCTCCCTTTTTGGGTGGGAAAAAGAAAACTCTCTCATCCTCACACTATCCTCCTGCTTATCTGCAGAGAGCACAGAGAAAGTAGGCAGGCTTACTACTTTACCTCTGCATGGCACAGAATTGCTTCCATATTTTTAAATGTGATTCTTATTCAGCCCTGGAGGTGGATTTCCATTCTAACACAGATTCTGTGATAAATATAAACAGTCATTAGCTCCTCTGTCTCCAAGGGAAACCAGAGCTAGTTGCAGGGGAATGAGAACGTGTGTCTGACAGAGCATGAAGGAACACCCTCCAACACAAAAGAACAAGTGATTCCACACTGCTGTACTAGCAGTGGCAAAAACACTGTAATTAGTTGATACTGTGCAGAGCACAGGGTGATGGTTGAACATGAATACAGGGTATACGGACTGAGTTAAGGAGAATAGGACAAGGGATGGTTGTTAGAGGAGAAAGTAAAGATGGAGAGGAAGCAAAGTCAGTCAAAGTGTTTCCTCTGCCAGCTTAGTTGCAGCGTTTTGTGTCACTAACTGAGCTGTTGCTCCACCACAGTTTGCTCTTGGTGACGGCCGGCAAATAGTTGGTGCTCGAGTTGAACCAACTTTAGAGCCACAGCTGGCACTGCTGCAGTGGACACACATAACCTGGTTTGCCACCGGGCACCATCTCCAAATGGACCTTGGAAGTGCCTCGGTGGAAAAGGGGAAAGTGATAGTTGTGGCTGCAGTTGTTGGAACACAGCAGAGCAGGGCCAGCCCCATGCAGCGCCTCAGGGACTGATGAAGGGACCCCATTGGTCGCTCGAGTTTAATGTTCACACATTGGCCGCTGCTCTTCAAAAACAAAAGACGTGAACAATCCTCTGTGGGACTTCAGGTATCCATGATACTTCAAAAACTAGCATTAATGGAACCACTATAAACACATGATGAAAGAGTCTTAGAGACTAATGAACACACTGAGACAACTGCCCACAGTCCAGCCATAGAGGACACTTCTTCAGACCATGTGTCTTCATCTACATGTTAACACAGACTGATTGTATTTTATTAAATGTATAATTGATATGATTAAACTTTTTGATATAACATCTTCGTCTATAAAGCTCGGATGCAAGATGTTACAGATTGTTTAGCGCCATCTGCCCTTTTTATTGGCTAGTTCCACCGAGCTGTAGTTTGCAGAAGTTAAAGAGCCCAATGACAGATACACATAAATAATGAAACTGCAAAAATGTCACTAATCTTTACTTAAATAACAAAAACTCACAAAGTCTATTTCCTCTTATTTAATAATAAAACATATGGGCATAGTAGACTTTTCTTTTTGTTTAGGGGGAATCATTTTGTTATTTTTGTTCAAAACATGAACTTATTGTGGTAGTTAAGAGCATTGTAGATAATGTATTATATTACATTACATTAATTATACGTACTTATACATGGTGCATTCAACTGCTGTGAAGTTATTACATAAATCACACTTCATCTAAATAAATGACTTAGTCATCACAGAGGTCCTTCAGTGTTCAATCCTTTACCAGTTGGAATCGATGAGTCATCCACAGGAAGGTAGGACTGAGCACTGATGGACACCTGATGGTCGTAGATATCTGCTGCAGCCTGCACACGCACACGCACGCACGCACGCACACGCACACACACACACACACACACACACACACACACACCACACACACCACACACACACACACACACACCACACACCACACACACACACACACACCCACACACACACACACCCACACACACACCACACACACCACACACACACACACACACACCACACACCACCACAACAACCACACACACACAACAACACACACACACACACACACAAACAAACAACACACACACACACACACCACACCACACCACACACAACACACAACACACACACACACACACACACACACCACACACACACACACACACACCACCACACAACACACACCACACACACACACTCACACACACACACAACACACACACACACACCACACACACACACACACACACACTCCACCACACACCACACACCACACACACACACACACACACACACACACACACACACACACACATCTCTTTTTCTTTTTTTATTTATTTTTAAATCAATATTCATTTTTAACATTTAGACATTTGTTGCAATATGACATTCTGACGAACAGGTCAGAAAACAAAGTCTCAGATGCACATGTTTACTTCGATTTACGTTATATAAATATTTAATTTGTTTTATTCTAATATGGTGCAAGTGTCACAAAACCTAATTCCTGCCTGGGACTAATGAAGTATTTTTGATTGATTCCTTGGTTTGGGTTTAAACTAAGTGCTGATCCTCTTTTGCAGGGATTGATGAAGTTATACACAAATTGAAAGTTATAATATATCAAGAATAGTTTGGATAGAGGAGTTCTTACTTGAATATATAAAAGTGTAGTTTACTTCTCTTTAAAGGTCAAATGTTAATGTAGTTCCTGTGTGTGTGTGTGTCAACATATGACCTTGTGTGTTGTTTGTTCTCAGGTTTCTCTTTCTCAGCAGATCTGGATCTGAACCACCTACTGACCTCATCTCTCCCAGCCTACCTCCTTTACGGCTGCCTTCCTCTAGCTTCACTTTCCTCATTCTAACATGTTGGGGAAATATTTTCCAAGGCCCTTAACTTTGACCCAGTTTATCAGTTTGTATTGCCCTCGCTGAGCACAGCTGCCCTCTCAGTGTTTTGTCTCCCTATTCCTGCCTGCTAGCGTCAGCTGGTTCTATCTTGTTATGCACAATGTTGATTCTTCTCTCAGAACTAGCTAAATACATAGGTCTGGGGTAGAGATCTTCAGAATCGTTTGGCATCTACTGTGTCAACTCGTGGCACTTGTGAATTCTCCGGCCGAAGCTCCAAATAAGCCATCAGTGTTTGCCATCAAAGTTCCTGCTCTCCTCGTGTCTCTCTGAGTTTCGTCTCCTTTGCTTCAGAAGTTTCCATCACATAACAGATGATCAGAATGATGATGACTGATAGTGTATGTGGGATGACATTCAGCTGATCATGCGTCTCACCTGTCCCGCCAGGTTGAAGTATGAGTGGTTGGTGAGGTTGATGGGGGTGGTCTTTGTAGAGCGGGCTTGGTATTCAGCAGTTAGAGTTTCCCCCTGAACACACAACACAAACCTTACTCAGCTTGCCTCTTCAAAACACTGGTTCACAATTCAAACCAATTTCATGTGTGGGTTAAAACATATCTTTTAAATATAAAGTCTAACAAGTTTTCTTTTTTAATTAGTGGAACTAAATACAAATGTAAGATGGTTTCTGCTATGTCTAAGATAAATGTATTGAGGAAATTAGAGGTCTTCCTCCTACTTTTATAAACAAATACTATCATTCCTCCACATCCTGTTCCTCCAAAGTTGTTTGCACACTGTGTTGAAAAATAGAGAAGTGTTGGGGATGCAGGGGGGGGGGGGTCAGATGTGCTCACCTGCAGTGTGTAGGAGACAGAGACCTGCACCTCTCCAGGATAACCCTGGTCCCCATCTGGACTGGTAAGACTCAGCTGTACTCCGCCTTCCACTGCTGTAGCCAGCCAGATCGCCTGAAGAGATATGTACAGACACATACAGCATTATGAAGGGAAGTTATTATTATTACATGGCCCAATCCAAAGCACCTTACATACATACACTCAATACCGTGGACATGCCTACAGGAACAATTTGGGGTTCAGTGTCATGGAAACGCGCCATTATGGCGCGTTTCCACTGCAGCACGGAGCTCGCTTTAAGCGTGCCGAGCCGTGCGATGCCCGTCTTTGGTTGCGTTTCCACTTGGCCTAGTACCGGCTAGCGGGTCCTAATTCACAGTTTTTCTGGCCCCATAAAATTGTGGTTCTAGGGCCAGGAACAACCAGGCTGAGTCGGGCTGAGTTTGCTAAAGAGAATCGCTGGCAAGGGGGCTACAACTACAACAAGATGAACATATTTGACCGTGATTTAATTGTAACACACGTTTCAAAATGATGCCGAAGTAACAACATACTGATACCGGTTAGTAAAAACCATGAATTAATGCTTTGACAAGTCTGCAGACAGACGGCAGGCGAAAAACCTTTTAAAATGCGCGTTGTCTAAATGGAGATCGGCTAAGCTAACGCAGTATATGCTCCGACCGTCCACACTCACAACAACGGCCTATACAGACATAAATAAAGCAGCGACTGTATTCACCATGACACAGACAGTCTGTGGTTTGTACTTGTTTAACTTTTGTCGAGTTTCTGAACAGATATGAGGAGCTGTGAGCTCTGAGGGCTAACAGCTAACGGCTGTGTTGTTTTTCTGGGGTTCTCATTGAAGATGACGTCACGGCTCCGCCTACACTGCGTTACTATAGTTACTACCCCAGTTCCTAAACTGTAATGGAAATGCGCCATCGCATTTCCACTACACGGCCTCGCTCGGCCTCGCTCGGTATGGCTAGGCCTTGTTAGGACTGGCTCACTTTATGGCGCATTTCCATTACAGGCCCTAGAACCACAATTTTATGGGGCCAGAAAAACTGTGAATTAGGACCCGCTAGCCGGTACTAGGCCAAGTGGAAACGCAACCAAAAACGGGGCCCGCACGGCTAGGCACGCTTAAAGCGAGCTCCGCGCTGCAGTGGAAACGCGCCAAAAAAAGTGAGCCAGTCCTAAAGAGGCCTAGCCATACCGAGCGAGGCCGTGTAGTGGAAATGCGCTAAGTACACTTGGACATGTTGACTGCAGAGGCTGATTTGCAAGCTACAGCCGGATCAAGGGATACAAACACCTGTAAAATTGAATACGACACTAATCTGTGTGTAACTCAACTTTCACTTAAGTGGATGTACGTGTAACTTTAGTTCAGTCATTTAGTTTTGTAGTAATATGAGGCATAAGAATGTATACACTCAACACACTCACAGAACATTGTGCGTTCCTCTGTTTCCCTGATAAAGCCAAAGTAGCCCCAGCAGCTGCATGGACCCCCCCTCATGTGTGCTCTCAGATGCTGATGGGGACACTGTCCTCTTCTGTCTGGTGTGCAGCTTGGCACCTTTGATGTGCACCGAATCCCCGGAGGTATAATTACAGCCTAACAGCGCTGTAAGCATACCTGACTAATAAAATGAATAAATGACTATATGGCTCAGTCTGAAGTTATAGGGAGCACATTTGTTCCACATGGATTAATGAACATTTATCCTGATAATAGATGAGACCCAGCAGAATGTCTGTGACGCTCATTTCACAGTTAGAAAGCAACATTTAGTGAGCAGTGTTCTCAGTAATAACATGTCATATTACAGTACAGCAAAAACAGATGAGTATTATCAAGAAATGCCCTGTCTGCACGGATGCTCATCCACTTCCTGTCTTACCTTATTGAAGCCTCGCAGCCCTCCATGCAGTGCATTGGGTCCATTATTGATATCTAGTCGGTACTCTTTCCCCTCCACCACAAAGTGCCCCCGTGCGATCCTGTTGGCCACGCGGCCCACCGTAGCTCCAAGGTAGCGCTGATCTGACAGATAACCTGAGACACAACAGAGATCCTCAGCCTCACCACAGACATGCTCCTCTGAGCTCCACCTAGAAACATCACCCATTGCTGCTCTATCACATGCAAATTCAAATAGCATAATATAAAACACAATGTTCATGAGCATGTTTTTAGTCATATTTAAAACAACAAAACATTCAATGTTACTTATCTCAGCTCAAACTCCACCACTAAAAAAACCTTTTCCCATGAATGATCTACACCCTGCTGGCCCCTCTATAATCAGTGTAGCTCTCCCACAGGTTTCACATAAAACATTTAGCCCATCTTTTCGTCCCACAATGACCCCATGTTAACACCATTCACATTAGGTAACATATGTATTATCGTATGCACAAATAAAAACAAGTTTCCCTTCATTATGTACATCTTAATTTTCCTCCACTGTGAATGCTCTTTACAAGGAAACACAAGGTATAAGAGATAAATACAACTAGGCTAAATGTTCATCGTTTTTAGCCCACAACATTATTGACCAGAATGTGATTGAATTGAATGTGATCATCAAAACAAATGACGTGCAAAGAATAAATACATTGGAGAAACAACCTAAGCCTGAAATACCTCTTAACAGCACCAATATTAATGTAAACGTTTTATATTTCAATCTCCACCAGGGACCTGACTCAGTGGACTCAGCCTCTGGAAGGTTCCCCTTACCTTCCAGGTGATCGAAGCCCAGCACCACGTCCTCCATGTGGCCCTCCCTCCCTCTGCAGCACACAGACCTGAGGATGGCCCCCAGGCTGAGGACCTCCACCCGCACCTGGGCCGACTGCAGCACCCACAGGTCCACGGGGCCCCGGCCCCCCACCTCCCCCCACTGCTGCACACTCACATCAGTCATGGTGGGCTTCAAAGACACACACACGGCTTATATAGCACATTTCAACAAAAGTCAATTGAAAGATCTTAGTAAAACATTAAGCATTAACAGAAAATTATAAAACAACATTTGAATAGAATAATATTAATATAAAACATGGTAATGTAGAATATGACACACACACACACACACACACACACACACACACACACACACACACACACACACACACACACACACACACACACACACACACACACACACACACACACCACACACACACACACACACACACACACACACACACACACACACACACACACACACACACACACACCGCTCACCTGTCCTCTCTTTATAAAGTCTCCCCGGTCATGAAGAGACTTCGGACCGGACTTGTTTACATCCGGCTTCTCCTTCTTCTTCTCCTGCTCTAATAGCGGCAGTAAACGCATGGTTTGAGGGGCATTAGCACCACCTACTAAACTGGAGTGCGGACCAGAGACCGCTATTGCTATATAGTCTCAGTAAAAAGAAAAACGATCTCCCAGTAGATTTCACAAACACAAATAAAGCCTTATAATTATTATTTACCATCCTCAATACTGATACATTATAATATTCTACACATACACCCCATTTATTCTTCCACTCTTAAAGTGTGCCCCTTACACTTCCATGAGTGTGCTCATATACTCAAATAATAGATTTCAGTATATCTGCTCTTTTTCATGGTAAAGATACCAGCACTGATAATAAATCACTGATAAGTGCCTCTCTGTATTTCTTACTTGACATCTGCACATTTTACACCTTTTAAAATATAAACTTGAAGCAGCAGAGTTAAACCATAGACATGTTGAAACATTTAATTTAGGTCGGACACTGTTCCCTAATGAAGGGCACAAGGAAATCAATGTCGTTTTTGGCCACATTTCATCTGAAATGAAGTGAATGGATTGAATTGTATCTGTGATAAATACCAAACGACTCATCACATTTCTAAATATCGTTCTAATAAAATGGGGTTTGTGCAGAAAGCCATTCTTCTGTATACTCTTTGCTAATATATTGTGGCAAATGAAAGAGAAAAATGATGAACAGACATCATGTGGGGGAAGACATTGCATATCTTTATTCTGCTGTTTCTATAACAAAGCTTAAAAAATGATAAATATTCCCTTACTTTGAAATATACAGATTTTCACAAATGTTGGTGTTATATATTAATGTATAGAGAAATAAATCTTGATACAAATATAACATAACATATGACAGTAAAGCTCTTGTCCGCTGCATGATTGAATAGAACAGACACTCATCATTTCCACTACCAAACTATAAATGTACACTGCATTGCTTATTGCACTGTAACACTGTTATGTATTATAATAATGGATGCAGTTCAGATATGTTGTGCATGTGTCTTCTTCACATTGTGCTTCTAGGATCCCTCTGAGGGATTACAAATGTATGTTTGCGATATATCATCAACAGGAAGCTTTATTTAGAATGTGTTAGTGGTGGATTTTGCTGTCACACTGCAGCCACATGTGCAGGCAGTTTGATGAGTAATGCTTTTGATCATCCCCCTATCATTGGGTTAGATCTCCCTTCAACTGTTGATGGAAACACAGTTTCAATGAAGATGTCCATGCACCTGTCACCATGAAGTTTTAATGAGGATTTTCATTCTAATGTGCTGCAGGTTCTTAGCCCCCCACTCACACAGCCTACCAAAATCTATTCCCATTATCCCTGTAAAACACCTATGGTGTGCATCACTCCTGTTACTCAGTTATTGTGTGTGTGGTGTGCACCTGCACTCTTCTCAATGATCCTGTATATACATAACAGACCGATTTTTCTAGTATATTTGTAACACAAACAGCATCATTTCTTTGCATGGCATTAAAGCCAGTACCAGAATCTGTTTAACCATGACCAACGATACACAGCTTGTTGTTTCCTTCCAGATGACAACAGCACCTCTCTTAGCTTACCCAAGTCGTTGTAAAACTCAAGTCATAATGTTTCACCACTAGAAAAAGTCAGTGTGTATTACTAGAGCACATGCAGTTGTGTTGTTTGTGAGTATACATTAATAGCTCTGTTTACTCTGTATTCAGAATGACAGTGGTGAATTACAGTGGTTTGGTCCTCTTGACCAGGTTCAAGCCTGTAAGACCAGGTTCAAGCCTGTAAGACCAGGTTTAAGCCTGTAAGACCAGGTTCAAGCCTGTAAGACCAGGTTCAAGCCTGTAAGACCAGGTTCAAGCCTGTAAGACCAGGTTCAAGCCTGTAAGAAATATCTCAGTCTTGAACTCAATTGTATGCAGTTGATTTGCATCCATTCAGTCTGATATCAACAATATTAGCCACTCATTTTATTTGTAACTGAAGTCATTGAAATTGAAATTCATTCAAAAATAATTTTAACTCAACAATTTTGCTGCACAGATCCTTTTTAACGTTCATAGGTATTTTGCTTTACGCATAGTTTCATGTCAAACCCCGTCCATTGATTGAGGCTATGAGATTACATTTTCTTTTCCATTTTTAACAAAAATTCCACCTTGTGGTTGTCTCTTCGTGATTTGGGTGCACCAATACATTGTGGTTCATTTCAGAAATCTGTGGGGCTCTTCATGCAATACATTTGGCCAGAACTGACACTTGTGTATTATGTCAACTGATTTCACAACTCTATTAGGTTAGTTGAAAGTTCAATAAACAATATTAGGTTCAACTTAATATTATTGCTTTCAACTAACCTAATACAATTATGTGAAATCTGTTTAATATTACATTTAATTAATGTCAACGTTTATAGATATCAACATTAAACGTTTGATAGTATGACATTTCTGTATACAGTATATATTAACATGGGCTAGCATCACGACAAGTACATCTCAAAGAAGGTGAGGTCAGTTCATTCATCTATCCACCAACCATGGTCCAGGGCAGCAAACCACAACAACTACAGGCCAGATTACAGACAGAATAATGTGTAGATGTTTTGGTTTCCTTCTTGAACTTCCCTTTTAGTGCCATTGTCTCATGGGAAGTCATTTCTATCTGACTTTCTCCTTTCTAGGCCTACAAGAAATGTCAAAACAATGGAGAGGTTACATGTGGACACTGGCAACTTTCCTCTACTTCCACTCTCAGTCCAAGATGTCAATTTAGCACATGTTTCTCATAATCTATTTGCTAGATTGACACACATTCATGCTCCTGGTTGATGAACCCCTTTAGTTTTAAGTCTTGCTTATCCAAAATAAGTAATTATTGCCAAACAACAGGATACATTTTGTCAAGCCATTTCAATAGGTAGCAGTAGGATCATTTGAATACATTTGAATAAGCCGGACGGAACTTGTTCTGCTTTAGCTGCTGTCACCCAGAGAGGCCAGTATGGAGATGGCCTGTGAGGCGAGTTTACTGTTGCTGTGCTCTGTCAGTTTACTGAGGCTCTCCTTCATATTCACAGAGTGCAGCTCCTCCTTCATCACACCTACAGCAGACAGGGATGGAAGGGAGAGCAGAGGAATCAGTGTGAGATGGATTACAACTGGGAGTGTAGAAGGCCTCTCACGCTGACTTTGTTGCACCTGTGTGAGGACAACTTTTATCCACTGATTTCAGCATCATCATGACAAAATGTGCTCCTGGAGACACGGACCATAACAGGAAGTACCTGGAGTTATCCCATCTAAACATGGTCTCTGGTTTTACAGCGATTTTAAACATAGCTCTGCTCAGCTTGTGCAGAGGCTTTGACTGGAGACTTGTGTAACACATTCAGTCTTAATTGATGAAAAAAGGACAAGTTTATATGATTTATGTTTGTTTTAGGCACTTTTCTTTTTCTAAAGCTTGTATCAATGACACATTTGTTTGGTACCTCTGCCGCAGTGGGCATTGGACAAACTGCAGTTTTAGAGCCTTGTGCTTGGGGATCACCTCTCGAGATTTATGTTTTCAGGGTATCTGTTTTAACGCTTTAGTGCTTTACATTACATAAATTAGACATGGAATATAATGTAATAAAGCAATTTGGGGTGAAGTGTCTTGCCCAAGGACACATTGACATACTGACCCCAGTGGGGGTCAAGGTGTGATTGAACCGGTGCTCCCTTGCTCCCCTGATCTGAGGGTCACCCACTAACCCACTGTGCCACCGCGCCCCGCTTGGCTAAGCAGAATTGTTTCCTAAAGTAGTTCATAAATACCAGATGCTCGGGGATGTTTTGGTAGTTTTATTGGCTGCTGCTAGATTCAAGATTCAAAGGTTTATTGTCATAACATATACATAACTACGGTGTAAAAAAAGTAAATATAAAAACCAACAATACAAATAAATCATTATTAAAAAGATGCTGATAACCCAAAAAAACAGGGTCTTCGAGTCCAAGTGTTCAGCAAGATAAAACATCTGCATGCATCATCCTAGTGTCCACAAATAATTCTGTATGTCCCCTACCGGCTGTGTGACTGCAGATATGTTTTGATGATTTGTACGGTGGCCCTTAAGTGCAAGACACCACAAGCATTTCACAAAACGCCGGCAGCCTGTCAGAAAACACTACAGCATTTCAGAAAACACTACAAGCATTTCACATTGGACGGAAGGGTATTCCTTTAGGGAGAACACTTCTTGATTGTGATTGGACAGAGCCAGCCAGAGAAAGCACTGCTGTGATTGGTTGTTTTTGCTGCCAGTCAAGAAATGGCGCTTCGTGATTGGTCAGCACCCGACAGCGCAACATGTCCCAACACATCAACCGTTAGCTGTTAGCACTCAGAGCTCACAGCTCCTCATATCTGTTCAGAAACTGGACAAAAGTTAAACAAGTACAAACCACAGACTGTCTGTGTCATGGCGAATACAGTCGCTGCTTATTTATGTCTGTATGACGCTGTTGTGAGTGTGGACGGAGCAGCTACAGGTTAGTTTTAGCCTGAATCGATCCGCCGCCTCTCCCAGCCGTCTTGTTGAGTGACAGGAGCAAACACAGCTGACAGCCGCGGTGAAACTCGAGCGATTAGAGCGATGCGAAAAAACCATGAATTAATGCTTTATTAATTCATGGATTTTAAGGGGCTTATCTCCATGTAAATACTATGGTAGACTACCCAATATTCGCATCGCTCTTATCGCTCGAGTTTCACCGCGGCTGTCAGCTGTGTTTGCTCCTGTCACTCAAACAGGACGCGCTGGAGAGGGGGCGGGGCGTATGTCCATGTAAATCCTATGGGAGATACCAACTACAACAAAATGAACATATTTGACCGTGATTTAATTGTAATACACGTTTCAAAGTGATGCCGAAGTAACTACATACTGATACCGGTTAGTAAAAACCATGAATTAATGCTTTGACAAGTCTGCAGACAAGACGGCAGGCGAAAAGCTTTTAAAATGCGTGTTTTCTGAATGGAATCGGATCGATCAGGCTAAACTAACCTGTAGCTGCTCCGTCCACACTCACAACAGCGTCATACAGACATAAATAAAGCAGCGACTGTATTCGCCATGACATAGACAGTCTGTGGTTTGTACTTGTTTAACTTGTGCAGGTCTCCCTTGAAAATGAGATCTATGATCTCAATGGGACCAATCTGGTTAAATAAAGGTTTGAAATGAAATTGAAAACTTTTGTCCAGTTTCTGAACAGATATGAGGAGCTGTGAGCTCTGAGTGTGTGCTAACAGCTAACGGTTGATGTGTTGGGACATGTTGCGCTCGGGGTGCTGACCAATCACGAAGCGTCATTTCTTGATGGCAGCAAAAACAACCAATCACAGCAGTGCTTCTGGCTCTGTCCAATCACAAACAAGAAGTGTTCTCCCTAAAGGAATACCCTTTCCGTCCAATCTGAAATGCTGTAGTGTTTTCTGAAATGCTGAAGTGTTTTCTGAAATGCTGTAGTGTTTTCTGAAATGCTGTAGTGTTTTCTGAAATGCTGTAGTGTCTTGCACTTCAGGGCCACCGTAGATTTGTGACTGAAAGGTGGAAACTGAACAGTACAAGAGCTTGATTGAAAATACTGCAGGCTGCAGAGATATTGCTAAAAATGTGATAAATCATCATGGGGCTTGTGAGGTGGAACACTTACTGGAGTTAGCCAGGCTGCAGATCAGACCTAAAGCACTGAACTTGACTTCGATCGCCCCGACAGGATCCTCCAACATCTCCTTCAGCATGGTGAGCAGCTCAGAGTCCCTAAACGCTTCCTTCATAGACTCTGTGACACACACACACACACACACCACCAACACACACACACACACACACACCACACACACCACACACCACACACACCACACACACACAACACACACACACACACACACACACACAAACACACACACTATTTTTAGTATTGGGCTGATCATAAACCCTGTGTAGCCAGAGGTTAGCTGATCATTACTCACACACAGAAGCGCACCATTATTTCTCCCCATGTCCCTGAGTTGGAATCAAACAACTTCCTGAATATTTGAGTGACTTCATGTTTAGGGTTCAACAGAGCAGTTTCACCAACACAGACCAGGTGGGAGAGTGGTGGAGCTGAGTGACTACAGCTCCATCAAACTGTTTACACCACATCGTCCCGAATGACAATTTCAATATTTATGTATTACAATGTTCATTATGGCTGGAATAATTTTTTCTTCGTTTTTGCAACAACATACAAAACTATATATTGCATAGTAATGCAATGAAGGTTTTTTGTTGACTTAAAGTGTCTCAAAATGCTTTACCAATGTCAATGGCAGATGCTATTGCCAGGGAAACCAGGGCCTCGTTCTGCATGATGACATGTTCACTTTGTTGCCATGGAGATAAGGTGCCGAACCCCCATCTGCTTTGGGCTACAGCATGGACCACTTCCTGTCAGACAGAGGACATGTTCAGTGTTGCACGGTCATGACGTTAACAGACAGGAATGATGAGCCAGCAGAAAGAGGTCTCACTGCGCTGCGACTGTGTCTGATGAGGGCAGCCAGGAGGCGACTGGACTCCCCCCGGACCCCTGCATGGTCTTTGGCCTCACACCCACTCCATGACCCGGGCCAGCAGCACAGCGTCCCTCCCCAGCACCAAAGCTGCCATCCTCTGCAGCGCAGCACAGAAAAAGAGAAATTAGGATTGAAGACGTCGGTAGAGAAGCTGTCAGATCAAAGATAGCAGTGGGGAACCCTTCACTAAGGAAACCGTTTTATTAAGAGTGATTCATATTTGAATGAAGTAAATGATCCCCCTGTGGAACTGAATGTTATCAACATGTTGGACTGGACAGAGGGATAAGTGAGAATGTAAATGAATCCAGGGAAAACTGCATAAAATAGAAAAACTGGAAAGGTTATTCTGTTCTGGGTGGGACGGCTCACATAAAGGACAAATGATCATAATCCCTGTTATTCTTTCTTTTACATTCTTCTTCCTTTCAGTCTAGTTTCCTCCTCAGACAGATCAAACTATACTCATTTTTGTTTGATAGTTATTGCCTCACTGTTTGTTTGTCTGTTCATTTGCCTATTGTAAAATGTGTCTGTTAGGCACCTGAGGAATATATCAAGGTTTCATTCTGTGGAACATGGCACTCATGCATTATGTCTGTTACATTGAACATTCCCTGTGTGTAACTATAAAGTGCTGTGCTAACCGTGTCCGTCCACCATCATGCGCAGTGTCCCCAGCAGTTTGAACTGCACCGGCGGCATGTCGGAGCGCAGCAGGCTCTTTATCCTCTCCGTCACTCCGTCCCTCCAGCATCCGCACTTTGTTAGTGCTGCAGACACAGAGCACCCTGTCAGTTGAAATGTCACAGCAGCGTACATACTGTTTCCTTTGATCAGTACCAGGAATGGCCAGGTTTCTGAGCGCGCTCAGATGTCCGGCGTGTTGAACAGACACATCTCCTTCGTCCACATGTTGCATCCAACAAGGTCAGGATGTGAGGAACCACCCCAAGGTCCAGCATCCTTCACACAGTTACTATCTGAGAAAACACAGCAGGCCAACACACATGTTCTGTATTACAGCACATACATTTCAAAATCCTCAACTCTCACACAGGCACTATTGTTATTGCTTGACAATAAACATTGTATTATTTAAAATAACAATTTGTTTCAAAAAGATATTAGATCTGAGATCTAAACAATCGTTTGTTTGGCCACTTGGTGGCAGCAAAAACAAGCAATAAAACTAAACTCTGAAACACATCAGCTGTATAGTGTTATACTGCACTTGTACATCCAAGCAGGTTCAGATCAACCTAGATCAATCACTGGGAGTCTTTGGTGTCCACCTGATTAATGTGAGCTGTATGGTCCTCTAGCCTTAATCCTGAGTCCATTAGCTGCTAAAAGCTCCACAACGTTCACCAGTGTGCTGTCTGCTGTTGAGCAGGTAGTGTACTTTTCCACTGAAAAGAGGTGTCTGCGGCTGCTGGAAATGACACTGTGAGTGTGGTGAAGTGGAAAGAGTGGAGTGCCGTAGAAAAACAAAACATGAAGTGAAAGAAGCTAAAAGGCTCAGTGGAGCTGAGCGAGCTGCAGAGTTAGAGAACATTCTCTTTGGGTTTGCTGTCCGTGCTTTTCTGCTTCTGTTATAAACTTGGTCATTGCAACTTTCAAGAAAATTGCTGCGTAATCTGGGGGTATGTTTTGCTTGATTGTCAATTGTGCATTCATAACCACATGGGTGATCTTTCCTGAAAAATGTCTCACCATTTCTGGCAAAGTTGGCGATGGCCAGGGCTCCGGACAGTTGCAGCTGTGTGTTGGAGCTCTGCAGCCAGGACAGAACATCCTGATACACCACACCAGAGCCCTCCCCAAAACACTTCTGCATGGACTCATCTGACACACACACACACACACTCACACACACACACACACACACACACACACACACACACACACACACACACACACACACACACACACACACACACACCACCACACACACACACACACACACACACACAGTTAGCAAACATTACCTCATCTCAACACTTTGATCAGCAGAAAGAGGCTTCAGTCAGAACGACAACAAAGGAAACAGGTGTCTACGCTGAGACAGTGGCTGCTACACAGATGTTCAGGTGTAACATCAGCATTGCTCACCTCCTAACAGCAGAGACACGATGAGGTTGGAGGCGATCTTGATGCTGCAGAGGTCGTGGGGGTCAGATCCTCCCTGCAGACTCCGAATCATCTCTGATAAGGCCTCTGGTACTCCTGACTCTGCAAACTGCAGCTTCAGTGTATCTGGGGGTCCAGCGCAGTTTAATTGATCATTAGTAACAGCTTACAATATCTTCCAAAATAGGTACAACATCTTTACAAAACAAAAGACAGCCCCAGGTGGTAGATGGTCCTTAGCATTACCTTATGATGGAAACCCGGACATTATAAAACACACAGCCCTTGACTAAAATTAGCAACCATGCTAATGCCGCACTGGGGAAGATTATTTTGAAATCTGTATGTCGATTCTGTGGAACTAGTCTCATCAAAGGGGGGATTTGGCAATAGCACAGTTCCAGCACGACAGCTGATTGTCCAGTTAGTACAATCAATGTGATCACTGATTGATTGGTTGTATTGCCCACAACAGCCTGACTAACACACCCCAATTCTGATGGCTCATGGTAAAGCCTGACTTTATTAAAACCTTCTTTGAGAGGTTTAGAAATGGTTCTAGAAAGAAATATCAAATCAATATTTTCCAAGCCTTCTTCCTGAAGCAACCTTGAGCTCTTACCACTCTCGCCCAAAGCCCCCAGTATTTCCAGGATGACATGTCGGCGTTCACCGTCAGGCGCCCGTTTCAGCTGGAAGGTCAGCACCTCTGCCACGCCTAGCTCTGCCAGGGCCTCCCTCGCTGAGTCTGCAAACACACGGCTCTACACATGTGACAGTGTGCAGGCACCTGGTCATCCTGACCACCACTGATAGCCATCGTACATCTGCAGCTTTTACAAATGGTTATTATTCTGGCTTAGTATTTAATTCTAGTTCCATGTGACAGGAAGTTAGTTATTAGTTATAGTTAGTTAGTAATTCTGAAATGGTGTGCTCCAGTGAAGCTGATGTCTGTTCATCCTGTGCCATCCTTCGTTCGTAGCCCTTGAGAAGGCCTTATGTGTAAGTTCTTATGTTGTGACATTATATTTCTTTACTTTGAGTGCATTCTTGTGATTAGATGCAGCGAGTTATAGAGATTGAGCACGTTTAATTTCATACATGTGTTCTAGCATTCAAACATTTAAGTATTCATATATCAGTTCAATGCAATGACGTATATTGTATTTGCATATTCATATTTCATATGTTGTGACAAGTTATCTGAGCTAACATTTGTGTTGTTGTTTGTGTATGCAATATAGCCTAGATATTACATTGATACTGTGGCATTGGCCTAATGTCATGCTGTCCTTGTGTATAGCTATGTATGTGTTGTTATTGAGTCATGTAAGTGATATTGACAAGTACTTTTGTTTGTGTATTTTTCAGTTTCACACAAAGAAATACACAAACAACAACTTGTTGACATCGTGGTCCTGAGATGTACCGTATGGAGGTGTTTATGTTGCTGGATAACTGAGAAGGGGGGTTCAGTGATGCCAGTATAGTTATTAAGGAATTAATTGAAATGTACGCTGTACGTAGCTGAACGTAAGCTGTATAAGCTCTGGCTCATTGCTTTTCCTCTCCTTGAGTTGAGAAAATGACAGATTTGTCTGTTTGGTCTTTTTTCTCACAAACAGCATTTCTTGGACCTGTTTACTTGTAAGTCTGTGTTTTATTTGACAAGGAGAAGCTAGGAGAGCATGGAGAACATTTAAACATAACTCAGAGATAACCCTTAAGCTGTAGAGCGACATGTCTAAATAAATTACAAATCCATCCATCTTCTATCTCTTACCCGAGTCGGATCGTGGAGGTAGCAGTTCCAGTAGAGGGCCCCAAACTTCCCTTTCCCTGGCAACATCAACCAGCTCAGACTGGTTGATAGTTTACAAATCATGTTTAACTAATAATAAATGACTGACAAAAAGCAGTTACTAAATAATCACCCATGTCTGCCAGGTTACAGAGGGCCAGCAGGCAGACGTTGACCAGGGGGTCGTTCTCCGGATACTGCCTGATGATGGACACCAGTCTGGGGATGACCCCGCTCTGCACCAGCTGGTCCTGCTGGAATGCTGGGCCAAAGAGAGGCAGTCAGTTTACTTCCCTTTAACTTCAAGCTCATGATTTCATCTCATGGTCTCAAGGTTTGCTCTACCTTATATGGAAATGAAAACTGAGTATAAATCTGTGTAAAAGATAGAAAAATAAAAGATAATTTCACGTTTGGTAATCATAAATATAGCAGTTTCACCTTAACAGTCACTAGTGGTGGAAAAGTAACTAACTACATTTACTCAAGTATTATAAGCAGCCAGTTGTTAGCGGAGTATTAATAAAATGGGTAAGAAATGGAAGGATGTCTGGAGCAGTAGACTGTGAGAGGGGAGGGGGTCCAGAGGCAGGTGAACCTCATTGGGAGAAAGGGGGGAGGAGGAAGTTAGACTGTGGATGGGAGATGTGGAAGGTGAGCAGGAAGTGTCAGTGGGTAAGTTGGGAAATTAAGAGCGATGTCATCTATTTTCTTCTCAAAATAGTTGACAAAATTGCACGGCAGAAGGGAAGATGGGGGTGGGGGGCTGGGGGGTTGAAGAAGAGAGGGAAAGACGGAGAATAATTTTTTGGGTTTGGAGAAGCAGGATTGAATTTCAGATTGAAAGAAAGTGTGTTTGGCTGTGGAAATAGAAGAATAGAAAGAGGACAGGAGAGCTTGATAGGATCGGAGGTCATCAAGGTGTTTTGATTTCCACCATTTCCTTTCAGCAGCCCTTAGCATGGTTCTGGACTCTGCTTTGCTCCAGTGTGTGTGGTGTGTGTGTGTGTGTGTGTGTGTGGGTGTGTGTGTGTGTGGTGTGTGTGTGTGTGGTGTGTGTGTGTGTGTGTGTGTGTGTGTGTGTGTGTGTGTCAGCAGTGCTCATGAAATGAATTCAGCTGAAACACTGGACAGAACTTAAAGTCAGGGTAACGATACTCGATGAAAATAAACAACCTCTCTTTTTTCTTGGACTAATATTTACAAAAGTCACAGCGATCTCTCGGCCTCACAGGAAAGTTGTGATTGGAAGAGGGTTATTCCCTCTTTCTATCCATCTGATGTCACTCTGTTATCACAGTGCTATGCTAATCCAAGCACCTTTCACAGTTAATACAATGTTTTAAAGAGGATCTATATTCCTGTCTGCAGTCCTAAGGCAACTTTCTAATTTTAAGAAAGTCTTCAATGTTCTTACCTAATTTGATATACAGTCATAATTACAAAAATACGTTTGATTTATATTTTTGTAAATATGGTCATATGACTGTATTTCCAAACACAGTGTATTTAAGTTCCGATTCCTAAAAACATTAGTCTCTAACTAGTTAACTAGTAAAGGCATAGGTTCACTAGTTAACTAGTAAAGGCATAGGTTCACTAGTTAACTAGTAAAGGCATAGGTTCACTAGTTAACTAGTAGACATTTTGAGCCCCATTAGTTAACTATTAAGGTCAAAAGAGGCGTCAACGCAGTTAACTAGTGAACCTTTTGGCTCCACTAGTTAACTCATGAGTGATTTTGGATATTTCTAATGAACTAGTTTGCTCATTTTCTGCTTCTTTTTTAACTAAGTAAGATGTCAGAGCGTTTGCAGCGCACTAGTTAACTTGTAAGACTTTTAGTGTCACTAGTACGGTCAGAGGGCCACTACTTGGGACTTTGTGAGCTAGTGCCGCTCCTGGCGTCACTAGTAAGGCTTATGTAGGAACTTGTCAAACAGTGCCACTAGTTTCAGAAAAAGAGTGACTAGTAAAATGTTTGCCAAACTTGTGACCATATATCTAACAAGTGCTAACAAGGAGCCAACTAGTGTGGCAACTGCCGTCTGATATCAAGGATATGGAATAAATACTCAAACAGCCAGTAGAGCCCTACCCGAGGGTGTGAGACTGTGCACAGGCTCGTAAGGGCACGACAAGTCAGTGAGGTCATCAGGAGAACTTTAGAAGTAATCAGTAAAACCTTAAAATCATTCAAGAACAGACAGGTAGCCAGTGAAGAGAGACACTCACAGTTGTCGAAGCAGATGCGTCCGATGGCCCTGCCGGTGTTCAGCAGCATCTCCTGGTCGGTGCTGCTCAGGTGGGGCAGCAGCACCGTCACCAGGCCGGCCTCGATGCACGGCTCTCTGACTGCAGCTGCAACACACCAGGAACACCATCACCTGTCTCTCAGCTGAATCCTCTCACCAGGCTTGGGGAGTAACGGATTACATCAGGATTCTTTTTAAAAGGTAGCTGTATTACACACAAAAATAACTGCCTGAATCTACTGCCTTTGCTTTATTTGTTCTGTTTTTAATTCAGCAGGTGAACCTATATTTTCATAAAATAGTGTGTGTGAGCTTAACTGTGTGTAATAAACTAAAACGGAGCATTTTCTGTCAGCTCAGATTTGATTTCTGCTTTTTTAAACTGTAGTATGTGCTCATGTGTTTCAGTGTTGGTGTGTAGGCTGCTGCCTGGACATGCTTCATGAAAGACAGGCTTCCCTGTCAATACAATCATTTCTGATCCTAAAATATCTTGGTTTCTTCTTTTCTAAGGTCACATTGTTCTGTTGTCTTACATTATAATTAAAAACATCTTATTCATATTTAATTGTATTGATTTTCAATGCATTTGACATTGTGGTAATCCAAAAGTAACAGAAAGTTACATTACTTTTATATGTTGATACAAAGATAAGGTTCATGCTTACATTTCTTTTTACAGGTAACTATTCATTGAAACGGATTACATTTTGTAGGTAACCCTCCCAACCCTGCATGCTAGTGCCATGCTGGATGTTAACATTACCCCTCCCCTCGGCTCCACCCCCCCTCCTGTCCTCAGAGATCCCCTCTGCGCAGTCACCTGACCCCTGCACTCCCCCACTACACACCTGCTCCCCATTTCCTTTATTCATCTAACACTATACCAGCCTGTTTGTAGGCTGTCGGATTGTTTAGTCTTTTGATTCAAGACAGCACAACCTTTGATTCCCACCTGTCTTTCTTCAGTTGTGCTACCTGTTTCAAGCCTGCTTTTTCAATGAGCCACATAACAGCAACTGGATAAACTGACTCTGCTCAGGAAGAGCGTGTGATATAACGGAAAGCTCTGGAACAGCTACTGAATAAACCTCTTGTCAACAATATGGTGGCATAAGGATGAGTTGTGGTAGCATCAATGCCTAAAGTGTCTAGATGTATTCAGATGATGACTTTCCTGCTGTCTTTGAGTTGCAGCTGAAAAATCCTTAATGTTATTTTCTTTGATATAATCCAAGCCAAAAAGAGGTGCTAACACCTGTAGCAGTATGCTACCTTCTCTGGCCATCTCTGCCACCAGCAGCGCCACCTGGCAGCTCAGGGGGCTTCTGCTCCGTAGGACCTGGGCCAGGGAGGGCAGGACCCCACTGCTGGCTATCTCCACAGCAGCATCCTTCTCTGTGGACACATGTTCATTTGTTCAGAGCAATAAAGACAGGATATCCCATCACAGCATTTACTGTTAGCATGCAGAGTTAGTGTTGGCTAATGGTGCACAGTAAAGCCCAGTCCTGACTTCAATAGATATAACACATAATATAACTGTAGGAACTACAAGGTATCTGAACTGTTTGCAACCTGCTCTAATATAGTGTGTGTGTTGTGTGTGTGGTGTGTGTGTGTGTGTGTGTGTGTGTGTGTGTGTGTGTGTGTGTGTGTGTTCGGGTGTGTTACATGACTTACTCTTTTCCAAAAGAGCAGCCAGCAATGTCTCCAGAGGAAGCTTCAGCTCCTCCTCAATCAGCTCTGTACTCACACTGAGAGCCTGTAGAGCCCCGCTCAGAGAGTCTGCAACACACACACACACACACACACACACACACACACACACACACACACACACACACACACACACACACACACACACACACACACACACACACACACACCACACACACACACACACACACACACACACACACACACCCCAAAACAACAACAACAACATAAGTTAAGTTATGCTTCTTTATGACACTTTATATAACTAACACATGAACATAAGACTGTAGTTTAATTGAAAACAGCGTCTCCCTCAGATGGACGTGGTTTATGTTCAACTTCTTAAAAGTAATTGCAGTATTTCAAATGATTTGTGAATGCTAAGAGTGTATTAAAGCATAACCATATATTCTTTTATAGTCTGTGCTCTGGGTATGCCTGTCAACAACACCATAGCGTCCTTCATGTTTTGTATGTTCTAGAGATTAGGAAAGGATATGAAAATCCTGTACAAAGCCATTTTCACTCCATGGATAATGTATATTTAAAACATTTTTATAGCTGTAACAGTTTATATGTTAAGGGTGGACGAGCATTATTGCTCGACTTTCCAAGTTTTAATCTTGTCAATGACGGTCATCCAGGGTTTTGTAGAGTGTATGTACTTGGAGGTTTACAAGGTTGTTGTTGGTGAAAGGGTTGAATAAACTGATCCCAGTTTCTTTAGCCCCAGGATCATTCAACCTGAAACATCTACAGTATCTCATCTACTGCTACATGGAAGACAGCTCAGACACACAGCTTAAACAACACACATACACATACAACACAATCCTTTACATTCATTACATACAGTAAAAACAGAAACACACACACACACACACACACACACACACACACACACACACACACACACACACACACACACACACACACACCCACAAAGGAGGAGACACCTGCAAATGGTAATCACCCAGGATAATCCCTACTAAGTCAAATGAAAATAGCCTGCGTGGAGGGGGCTGAAACACAGCCTGCTACTGTACGTCAAGATCCAACCCCAATCTCCTTCTGTGTGTGTGTGTGTGTTGTGTGTGTGTGTGTGTGTGTGTGTGTGTGTGTGTGTGTATGTGTGTGTGTGTGTGTGTGTGTGTGTGTGTGTGTGTGAGTGTGCGCGTTTGTGTGTATGTGGGCTACTTTGAGTGCTTGACAAGAGAGTAGGCAATTTACAAATCAGTCCCACAGAGAGCTGCGAGGGAGTCCCTAGGGTGCTTATTATAAATGCTGCAATTACACTGTATGTTTCCACACTAAACAACATAAAGGCCTGTGTATTGACATACGCAGTATATGCAGGGGCTTGACACAATGTCAGCAATACCTGCAAGCCTCCAAAACAACAGTCCAGCAATAAATCCCATCACTGACTGTCAGACTGTCTGAAAGCTGATGGTCCACCTTCCCCCATCACTTAATATCTGTATGTTTATGATGCTGCCTATGGGGGCCTCTGATCTACACTTTAAAAGACACATTACAGTAGCAGTAGCTTCAGATGAGGCTGTGTTGTTGTGCGAGGCTGTGTCCTCAGCCTGCAATGCATGACTGAATAGCTTCTAGCTAAACAGTGCACTCTTACTGCCCAGTGAGACAAACAGCTGGGTGTTCTGGCATTGTCTGTGTAGGAACAACGACACATACAAAATATAAAAACATTTGACATTGTCTAAGTCCATGAAATTATGTTTGGAATTAATGTTTTTTTTATTTTGAATTGTATGAATGTTGGAACTGTCCCTTCTCAAGACAAATGAATTCAACACCAAGTGACGCTCTTAGAAACTAAATGTGGTTTAGGTTGAACATTTCAACCACATTTTTAAAGCAGTTTAATTCATATGCTGAAATATTAATCAACATTGTTTCGAACAGTGAAATCTGACATATAATCAGTTTTGTTTCATGTGCCTATACTGCCAACTTCTGCATAAAAAAATAATAATTCTAAATGAATGAGGTCTGGGGACAAACCACTGAAGGGTGGATATGGCTATGTTGTGGAGAAGGCGGGAGCTATGATGTATAATTGTAACTACGGGGACCAAGCTAGACGCAATCATAGCTGCCAATATGCCTGGGAAATTGTGCTATTGATTATAATAATGTATCTCTATCTACCTATCTATCTATCTAGCTAGTCTATCTATCATATCTATCTATCTATCTATCTATCTACGTCTATCTATCTTATCTATCTATCGATCTATCTGACTATCTATCTATACTATCTAAGATATCCTTCACTCTTGTAACATCCTTATCCATGCACACACATTCACACACTCATGCCTGGTACTGTGATGCCATCAACACCATACCACAGATGTATCATACGTCATCACCTACATTATATGGAACCACACACACACACACACATCACACACACACACACACACACACACACATCACACACACACACACACACACACACACACACCACACACACACACACACACACACACACACAACACACACACACACACACACACACACACACACACACACACACACTAAGGGATGTCAATATGCAGCTACTCACCAATGTCTGTCATGGCTGCTGGTCGACAGGCTCCTCTCTGCTGGCTCACCGCCTCTGCCGGTAAGAACTGTGTGTGTGTGTGTGTGTGTGTGTGGTTCTGTGTCTGTGTGTATATATCTGTGTGTTTGTTTGGCTAGCAGAGAGCTACACTCCTTTCTTAAGGTCAGGTGTCCCCCAATGCTGTCTCCCACTCTGTCTGTCGTTTCTCTCTCTGCCTCGCTCTCGCTCCCTCAATCCCATTATCACTCAACACTATCTCTACCGCCCCCCCCCCTCCTGCACACACTGCGCCTGCGTTCTCTGTCTCTGCTCATTTGCTCTCTGTTTCCACCTAGCTGTTTCCCTCTCTGACATTCAGACTGCAAGATGTATTGGACTTATCATCTGCTGTATATACGTGTGTGATGATAAGTGACGACCAGATCATAATAATAACACCAATAATAAAATAATACGTAATCCCTACAATTGCGCACACATACACTATTGTATTTAAGTGGAACATTTTTTCTCACTATATTTTAAGAAACCTTATTTTCAAATAGTTGGAAAAAAAACAAGCCTCTATTTCACACATTAGATTAAAGAAATCATGTGTTGTTTGCATAAAGACGGCAGGCTCTGTGGAGAAAGAGTTTTTACCTGGATGTCATTTTATTCACTTCTTGAGTCTGACTGGGGGGTTTACTCCACTCCAGACCCCAGCACCTTTAGATAAATGCCCCTCACCCCCCCTTGTATGTAGCATACAGTACAAGCCCTATACAATGACTGCCCTGTTGACAGTCAAGGGCAAAAGTGGAAAAAGAAAGGAACTCCTTTGTCCTCTTCCTTAATCATCCGTATCAGAGGAGAACAAAAAGAACAAAAGAAAAGCAACAGATAACCTCAAACCCCCCAGTGCTTTCTCCGGTAGGTTTGTTATCGATCAAACAATGATAGTACACCTTAGTCAGGAGGTTCAGGTGCGTGGGGGGTAATTACATAGACTGTATATGTGGGTAATTACTGTTTCTGCCCTCCAGCCAGCTGGGGAAGGGTTCTGGTTTGCTTTAGCATTGCTCTCTGGATGGATGTGGTATTGCAGCAGCATGAATGTAAAAGTAGGACATGGGAGCTGATCAACATAGTTCTCCTAATCTGTTGCAATCTTCTAAATGGATCCATTGTAAGCATTGTCTGTACGTTATGTTGTTTGCTTTGCAAACATATATTTTGGTATTAAAGAGTAAGTTCATTAGGTTATTGCTAGATACTGGCTCAACTGGTTATACTCAGTGTTGGGGTAGTACTCAAAATAATGAAAGAATTACACATTACTAGTTACTTGAAAAAAAGCAATGCCTTACTTTACTAAATGACTTTACTGAAAGTGAATAGTAAACACTACTAGTTATATTACTGTACATCTACTACTCTGTAACATCACCTGAGATGCACTCTAAATAATAGACACATAGCAATAACAAACCTAATTTATGCCCAGCACAAATCCTAAATGTGATAAGGACAGTTCTGAACACAGACCTCTGTTCCTGCTCTTGGTGTGTGTGTTGTAATGGTACTATTTTATAATGTATAGGGCGTAGGGATACGTGTGTGACGTCAGTCCTGTTTGGGGTAATGCCCGGACCTAGTTTTATGCTTTGGTGTGCTTAGACATAAACGTGTCCAGTACAGTCTCCAAGGCCGGATTAACCATATGGGCAACCTGGGCAAGTGCCCAGGGGCCCTTGAGCAAAGAGGGCCCTCAGTGACAAGATGAAAAAAAAAGAAAAAATATTTGAATTTAAAATTCTTTTCGGGCACAACCTCACTCATCATACATTGTTTTAAATGACACTCACTCTTCGCCATAAATAACACAGCTTTTCTATAGGGTCAAATTCATATATTTTCTAAACCGTCTCTGTACTGTAGGTCTCACTATGTATGCGCTCAACTTTATTACTACGCGGCGGCGGTGTATAGCCGAATCACAGCCCCACCCTCACTCATGTCACATTTTGTCACGTGAGCAGAAAAAATGGATGGTGCCGGTAGCCAAACGCCCAGCGGGGCTAAGAAAAGAAAGAAAAAGAAGAGAGAGTGGCGGCTGCATTAAAAAATGTGCCAACAATAAATAGCTTTTTCAAAAAAGCAAAAAGTGACGAAATAGGCCAGCAACAACCGCAAGGAACAGTGGCGGCGGTCACGGAGGATGTTGTTGAGCTAGCGAGCAATGTTAGCCTTGAACCTAGCATGCTAACGCAGCGGGTAGAAGAGGAGGTACAGCTCTGTGACGAGGACGTCACAGAGCAGGGTGAAGGTTCGAGTTCATCGGAAGTTCCCTGTGTCTCTCAGGACCCTGCACAATGGGGATTAATTGCTGGAAATGTCCGGGAAGAGACTTTGATGAAAGCGGTTTCATACTTTCATAATCGGGCAACGAAGTATCCAGCATCTCGGAGGGAGACCGATGCTAGCGGCCAGACACGCTCACTGACCAACGATATGCTGACCAGACAGCTTCACAATGGAGAAATCGTTCAACGCGATTGGATTATTTATTCTCCATCTACCGGAGCAATTTATTGTTTTGCCTGCAAACTTTTATCCACTCACAGCCACAGCAATGCATTTGTTCTCGGCTTTAGTGATTGGAAGCATCCCGAGAGGATAAAGGAACATGAGACGAGTGGTGAGCACAGAAAATGCATACTTTCACTTATGCATGGCACTACACTCATGGGCACTGTGGATGCTTCTCTAGGGATGCAGGTCGACACAGAAAGTCAGTGCTGGAAGGACGTATTGAGACGTGTAGTTGCGGTGATTAAATTCTTGAGAGAGAGGGGGCTTCCTTTCCGGGGAAAAGACGAACTTTTAGGATCCGCACATAACGGGAACTACCTGGGAACCCTGGAGCTGCTCGCGCAGTTTGATCCATTTTTAAAGGATCATTTGCAGAAGTTTGGCCAGAAGGGACGTGGTAGGACTTCATACTTGTCATCAACTATCTGTGAGGAGTTTATTGGTTTGATGGGTGACAGAACAAAGGAAGCAATAGCAACAGAACTACAGCGAGCAAGGTATTTCTCTGTCATCGTAGATTCTACACCTGACATGTCTCACGTCGACCAATTAACTTTTGTTTTCCGATTTGTGAGTGAGAAAGGAAAGGTTATTGAGAGATTTATTGGATTTGAACCCATTCACAGTCACACTGGGTCAAGTCTGGCTGACTGTGTGATGAAGATGGTCATTGATATGGGGCTGGATCTCTCAAACTGCCGTGGCCAGGCTTATGACAACGCATCCAACATGTCAGGAAAATATAATGGGCTGCAAGCTTATCTCAAGAAAAGCAACCCACTCATACATTACATTCCGTGCACAGCACACTCCTTGAATTTGGTTGGTGTCAACTGTGTTGAAAATAGTTGTCGTGAAGCAAGCCAGTTTTTTGATATACTTCAAGCACTTTATGCTTTTTGCTCTGCTTCTACCCACCGATGGAATAAAGTGTTCACTGAAAACGTCACACTGACGCTAAAATCTCTCTCCTGTACAAGATGGAGCTGCAGAGGAGACTCCACAAGAGCTCTTTGTGAGAATTACACTGCAATAAGAGGGGCTTTACAAATGTTGGCGGCTGATGACGGAGAGCATCAGGACACACGGCGAGAGGCCTCTGCGCTGTGTGGCAAACTTGGGAAACTAGAGACTGCTCTGCTGACGATATTTTGGGACACTGTACTGCACCAATTCAAGCTTACGAGCACTGGCTTGCAAAAGAAAGACATTGACCTATTGACCGCTGTGCGACTTTTGGAATCGCTGCGCACTTATGTTGCATCACTACGAGGGACATTTTCAGACTTTGAGACATCTGCCCGGGCCGTCACCGGCGTGACACAGACATACCAGCACGAGACTCACCGTGTTGGTAAAAGAGGAGTATTTGATGACGAGACAGCGAGGTGGTACTGACTGGCAGTAAAAGATTCCAGGTTGAGACATTCAATGTAATTATTGACAGGTTGCTCTCTCAGGACTTAGCAAACGCCTGGATGCATACAAAGACATAAATGATCACTTTGGAGTCCTATTTGACATGTGCTGTGATGACACTGATCTCCGCAGACGGGTCAATATTCTCTCCTCGTCATATCCTACTGACTTGGATAAGTCATTAGGAGATGAGCTGATCCAGTTTAGGGCTTTTGTCAGCACAGAGCCAGATATAACTCCTGCAAACAGACTGCAGGTGGTGCTTAAACATGGACTACAGACAACATTCCCCAAAGTTTTTGTTGCGCTCAGGATTTTTCTCACACTGCCTGTAACCAACTGCGAGGGTGAGAGGTCCTTTTCACAGCTTAAACGCATCAAAAATGAACTTAGGACAACCATGGCTCAGAAGAGACTTTCAGCCCTTTCTTTGATGGCCATCGAGTCTGATCCTGTGAGGGATCTGGATTTTGATGACCTAATCACAGACTTTTCAAAGAGAAAGGCAAGAAAGAAACACTTCTAAAAGGTAAGATCCACTGTCTCTCATTCTCTCTCTCTCTCTCTCTCTCTCCCCACACACACACACACACACACACACACACACACACACACCACACACACACACACACACACACACACACACACACACACACACACACACACACACACACACTCTTCCATCACATATACTGATCACTTAGTTGAGCAACCACACCATTTCAATACATGTTTTACTTTTGTAACTCTCGATGTTGGTGACAAATAGAACTCTTCGTGTACTTGTACAGCCAGCCAGTCATATTTTGGCAATTGAAGTGGGGTGCTGCTCTGAGGTTTTGAGTGATATTACCTAGGTATTCCTGAGCCATACACTGTCTTGAGATCTTATCCATTGTATCCTTGTCTTGTGATTTTTGACTGAAAGGGCAAAAGGCTAGACCTACTTTGGTTGAACTATGTAGCTGCGTCCCTGCTTTTGACAAATAGGTGTGCGATTTGACATGCCAGATTGACTGAAAATTCTAAATATTGGTCATGTTGGTAGGATTGGGTAGGCGTGGTGTTACTTGTTGGTACGTGGGTTGGGGGGGGCCCATGAGCGCTCAGTGCCCAGGGGCCCCTGGAGGTACTAATCTGGCCTTGTCTGGAGCTCTCTTCCCTGAAAGCACTGTCATGGAAGACAGCGTTGCTACTTGCCTTAACGTCAGCCAAGCTATCCAGTTG